TCCTTCCCATCTTTTTAGTTCTTCTCAATCCCAAATAATCCCATCTGATATCAATCGCATTCAACTAATAAGGTCAACCACGCAGAGGCTATCAGATTTTGGAAACCAAAATCCCCTTTTCACTCAGCTGCACTCAATGTCCGCACACCATCAGATCGGTCAACAACCTGCCTTGGTTAGAACCCTTGAAATCTTCCATTTATATATGCAGTGTCTCCGAAACGCGCATACAAGACCCTACTTTAGTCATCTCCCTCCGTTCTCTAGATCTAGCTTCATCCTCACGCTTCACTCTGCGTGTGTCAGGCGATTCGGCAGCTACATCTCACTCGGTGCACACATCACGGATGAAGTGTCAGCTCGCGCACAGAAGGCTCGGTTGGCATTTGCTAACTTGAGGGATCTGTGGCGCCGCCGTGACATCCGGCGGTCTGTGAAGGATCTAGTGTATGCTGCGGCAGTTCGGTTAGTTCTGCTATACGGCGCAGAAACTTAGCCACTAAAGAGACAGGAAAAAGATAGACTGTCGGTGTTTGAACACCGCTGTCTACGCAACATTGTACGAACCTGGTGGGACGAATCAATGCTGAGGTTAGGCGCAAAGTTTTGGGTAACCACTGGAGCAAGTGGTCGACCTCCATAGATTACGTCGGTTGGGACATGTCACCAAATAGGTTGCCACGGCAAGCGATGTTTTCTGAGGCAGGTAGTGGGTGAAAAAAATCATGGGTGGTTAACCTAAGACCTGGCAAGAGGGTATGAAATCCCTAACCAGGGTACTGGGTCAAATAGGTCCCATTAGGCTCCCCGGCTGGGGACCTCGGGATGACTATATCTGATGGTTAGAAACACTGAGTGATATGGTTGAGTGTTGTAAACAGTGGCGTTCGTGCATCTCAATTTCTTTGTAACCCTAGACCACTGTAATTCTGAACTTTCTATTTGACTCTACTTTCAACCTTCCCGTCTTTCTCCTTTTCTTCATCCAAATGGGGATCCAAAAGACAGCAACCAAGACCGCCGCACGAAGGTGCATGGTTAATGGTGAATGGCATAGTGGAACTATACAAAGGAGCATGAACAAACGTATGCGCAAACGGGATAATTCATACACATACCACCCTAAAATGTATTCAGTTTCCCGTCGTTTTCTTTGATCACGTTATTACTAAGATTCACCCGAGAGTCTTCAGCTTACTTAACCACTTACCCACGGTCGAGACCATAAGCTTCGAAGGCGAACTATTTACTCCGAAAGTATTATGAAACTAGAGGATACGGTTGTTCTGATAGATTTTTCTGTATTTTCCGACCCTGGCATTACTACTTTCTGTCTTGAATCAACTGATTATCTTAACTTCTGTTCTGATACCTGCTGCCCACGGGAAACATTCTATATCTGATGTGATCGTTTTTCTTCTCCCTTTCTGAAACAACTGCCTCCAAAAAAGGAACGCGCATTTAAATCTAAAATCACATCCAAGCTGGCTCATGCAATACTGTCTGACTCCTGACACCTACATAATTCCGCATTATCTAAATGTATTTCAATCTCTTCTACTCGCTCCCTGTACAAGCACGTTTGACCACGCACAAAAGTGTACTATTCTTCCAGATCCTTATAGTGCTCGTTTTTTATGCCACCCAGAACGTAATTTTTATGATTTTTCCATAGCTTTGAGTTAACTCCCAAAACGTAGTGTGTTCATCATTATCATCATCGTACAGCGAAATACAGAGAAGTGAACTTCACTGATCGCTGTTAAACTCGCAATGCGTATGCACTGGAGGTTTGGTGGACGGGTATTGCTAGGGTGTCCAGCCACTTAGCACGAGAACGATTAGGGTTCTCAACCAAAGCCTTTAGTTCTGACACGAACCTAGCCGCAAGGCAGCGGGTGGAGTGAAGTGGAGACCCATTCGCTTGGATCAATTACTCCACCATTTTTTACCGACTGAAACGCAAATTCTAGTCGAACCCTTAACCTGGAGGACCAGGAGACTGGACTTCGCCCGACCTCTACCCTTCAACCTTCTAGGCATGATTAAATCTTCGGCTTGAAAAAAGCCATCCTGTGTGGCTCGTTGAGTCAAAGAGGTGCACGAGCCATCACACTATGTTAAGGTGCAGTCTCGTCGTGTGTTCATCTCTTCATTTTATGCGGGGTGTTTGTCAGCTGAAATTGCATCAGATGGTGTAATAAACCAATTTCTTGGCTTTATCTAACATGACTACATTTCCCTCCAATGAGAGAATTGCGAACGTTGGTAGGGTACTTAACTCACCCTATCCTTTGCTTCCGATCCAGTCGAACGTACTTTTGGTGCCTCCCACTGCGTACGACCAGTTGCGAGATCCGTATAAAAGTATCGCTTTTTACAACTAGGAACATTAAATATGAGTGTTGTGAATCAAATACCTGTCCCAAGAAAATGTCCAAGTGACAGGAAGGTCGTGACCGACGAAATCAGACAGTTGTCTTTCCAACTGGGACAACTTTTGAAGAAAATAGTTCGGGTCAAGAGCACCGGACTGCCAATCATCGAACCGGGTCTGGAAAAGGGAAAGCAGAACAATTAATAGTAAAGTGAACATTTGGGTATTTTGACTGAATTAATAAAACCAACCAACAGCTGTGAAATTTGAACACAGGACGAAACTGCAACTCTGGGATGGCGGAAGGTTTTATGATCATCCGATTGAGTGCACGGTGAAAGCAACAGCATTCGTTCAGACACAAAAAAGAGCACTAATACTTTAGCATCAGCTACAGGTTAACTTCATAACTGGGCTTTTTGATACAGCATGTGAATGATTCGGAAAAAACAAGCTGATCAGTACATAGGGATATAACTTACCGAGAATTGAATAAACAACAAATGCAACCGAGCGATATCGGACAGAGTAAGATTGAGAGCCGCGAACTGATCAAACAATGTTCTCACGGAGTCTTCAATTGAGCGAGTACTCGAATCAGGAACGGGCTGGAGGAGATGAACAGAGAAATTGAGTCAGGAGTGGACTAAGATGCAACCGGAAATAAGTAACAATCACTAAAAACGAAGGAACATTCAAGTGAGCCTTCGCTATTTAATTTATTCTACGAAGGAAGCAATATCCGACTGGTTCTGCACTGGTGCCAAACAAACTGATTTTTACACACACCGACCTGTTGCCTTGCGAGTCAGGACTTGGTAAGCCCAAGGCCCAGGAAAATCGAACAGCCTTGGTTTAACCAACCTGGTAGCATTTGACCTGCAAGCAAACCGTGACCTGAATTCTTTGTTATAAGGACTGTTGTACACTGGTTTGTCTGACATACAGTCTACTCTAACGAAAGTGGAACAACAACATTGTTTTCCACGTAACTCATTGGCGCCGAAAGCCTCAGTGTGGTCCGGTGTCTCGGATTGTGGATGGTCACCTTCTTTACAACTTGCGAATTGCTCATAACGTCTCAAATAGCCTCTGCTGAGGAAGCCTTACTCACTGCCTTCTCGTAACAAAGGTGTTTTTCCGAAAGTGAGAGGAAAAAAGCCAGTATCCGGAGCCATAACCGGACTGATGAACCACTGGTAGTTCACCTAATTCCAAACCAACCCAGAAGAGGCTTACGAACCGCACACACTTTCCTGGTCACAGTAGCGCTCACCGGCTGGATTGGGTATTGAGATGTTTTGGGCACCTTAGACGTTTGACGCCGTCATATGGGTGTATGACCCAATGAACTGAACACCCCCCCCCCGGCTCAATGTATTGCAGTTTCCCACACCGCCCCGCAGCCTTGTGGGTAAGGTTTTGGTTAGCCGAAGGCTCCTGTTGGGAATTCTCCAAGAAGATTCACCTGCCTCGGCCTGGGCAACCTAGCAGTATTGTGCCCTCAAACAAATCAGGGAGTTTTTTCTTTCTATAAAGATTAGTGCACTAGGATTTGTTTGGCACACAGTCTGAACTCTACCGTATTTGAATATATATATATATATGTATATATATAACCTACTTGAGGACAAGCATAATGCGTTTTCCGCATCAGCTTTAGAGCATGGTATGTTTAAGCCTTGATCGTGGAGTTGACGAAAGTCTTGGTTTCAGTATGGTTCCGATTGAAAGGTTTTAATCTGTCATCTTACGCATGAACGACATTTCTCTTAGCCTTGTCCAGGACGTGAGTACAGATGAGTAGACAACGAATAAGCTGGCGCAAAACACGACCGAGCGACCCACTTTTTCTAGGATGGCCATTAGTAGCGCACAGATGACGATGGACTTCGTACCACCAGACACGAGAAAAACTCCGAGGAAATCGGCGTTAGAAAACAGAAGGCCACTTAGCATCTTCAGTGAAGACCGGGACTAGAAACCGTAAAATAAAGCACTACGATCCGCGGCAATTTACACCTTTCCCCTAAAGGATAAGTAGAAGTCACAACGACGCCACAGATGTCACTGGTTAGAAAAGGTTGCTCTCGCTTTCGCTAGTCGTGATGTCATCTCTTCCCCAACACCACCTCTAGCTGTCATCAAGCCCCCAAGGTAATTAAAGCTCTCAAACACTTCCAGCTGATCAGCACAGAGGGTGAGTACAAGCACAGGCTCGTGCCAGCTTTGTCCAAGCCCTTCACGTTTGGATGGTGCGAAGCCCATACCATACCTGGATACCTCTATCGCCAAGCGGTTCAAAACATGGTGGACTCAACAGGGGGACCACGTTGGTGTAGTCTAAGTAGCAAACTCTTTTGCAAACGTTTCATCACCAACCGAGGTGCCATCTACAGTGCTTGTCAAGTGACAGTGTTCCTTGTATCCGGTTGTTTATGACTGCAAACAAATAACCAAGCGCGGGGAAAACAGACAAAAATGAATGGGGATTCAGGGCAGCCTCGTCGAACTCCATTGGAGATGGCAAAGGGTGGCGAAATCTGGTCATGGACCCTAAATCCACCTGAGATACGGCGACACAATTCCTAGAGGAAAGATAAATATTTCTCAGGTACTCTATTTCTAAACCAATCGTTCCATAGTTTGGTCCTATTGGTGGAGTTAAAGGTCGCGCGAATTTGTAAGAACACAATGACCTTTGGTCTTCGATAAGCATGATGGTTCTCTGGTAGCTGTCACATGGTGAGGATTTGATCAATGCTTCCACGACAGGCGCGAAACCCAGCCTGTTCTTCGCGGGTCTGTTCATCACACATCGCACAATCGGCGGATAATGACGGCAATTAACAGCTTTTACGATATCGGGATAGGAATTATACTCCTATGATTGATACAGTCACTTCGCCAGCCCTTTTTACAGATGGGAGAAACAATCGATTCCGATTCTGTGAGGGTGTTGAGCTCAAGGTTTTATTGTTCACTCTCGTCACGATTCATATTTCATTATGCTGAGTGTCTTTCGCCTTCGGTCGGTGTGCGTCGAGAAGGTACACGGAGTCCACCAAAATCAGGTGTCCCGGAATGAAATGTCACACCACAACTAATTAAACCAGAAGAATACAGAGCATTATTGATAAGAGACCTGTGCTGACTGATGTTATCAGGTGGATCTTGTTCGGATTCCAGGAGATTCCTCTGATACGATCGACAGTCTTGTATGCAACCCTGCCATCTGCGGCTTATGGCAATGTGGGTGATCTACGTCTGTCGCTGACTCGAGGAGAGTTGACATCAAGTGGCGTACCAGCATTGGGAACGTCTGATGCTTTTCGGACGAGCCTAGGCGGTGATCGGACTATAGAGCCAATAGTCCCGCTTCCCCAGCGACAGGAGTTCAGTCCGACAGGATCTCCCACATGCACCTCACTCGAAGTCAGTCGATCAACTCTGACACTCATATCTCTCGCTAAAATCAAGATATCAGCTCGGTTCGCCGTACGCAATAGGTCGTGTAGTTTTTGGTCGAAAGTATTTCTGACTATCTGGTCTACAATTAGTGGGTTCGTACGCTGAGACGACAAAGAAATTGCATCTTTCGAAGCGACGACTGCTGACTTTTTACAAGCCTCTAAACCTCATTGCGCATAACCTACTGTCGACTAGGATCCAACCTAGGAGCACGGCTTCAGCTCTCTCACTGAAAGCCAGTCCGACACCAGCCAGACCTGGATACCCTCGGGTTAAGCTGAGCTGAATGCTACCGGGCGCGTCCCCGGGGTTATGGATAGGGGGATACCTTCACCGAAGTTGTGGCATGCCGCAACAAATAAGCAGTCGCAAACAAACAACGGCGGCACTACCAGGATGTCGTGGGTTTCAGGCTGATCACCTGGCTCCTGTTTAAAAACCGCATAAGCCCAATGACGGTATCGTGAAAAAGGTCGATGTGACTGGCCTTTGAAAACTATAGTCATCGGCCCCTTCACTTCCGAGGCGAGGGATTACTTCCTGCTGCTTTGTAGTTCGCACTTGGTTGTGCATAGGCTAGAGATGGGCTCTCAAAATAAAAAACGCCGAGTGACGCTTGGGACCTTTCTCGTACCAAACTCCCAAGGAACTCCATGATCACGATCATATCTGGAGCCGGCTTATCCTTTCCAAGGAGCCAGCCGCAGTAAAGTAAAAAAAAAAGAGCAAAAGCGCCAGCCTCAAAAATGCGTATGTGAAACTTCGCAGATGGACTTGATGGGGACGTCAATCGGATGGCGGAGCCGGAGTCTTGAATGCGAGTTTCTGGAACCCAACACACATCGATGGCTAGGGTCTCGAGCATACGAGCTAAAAGTGCCCGTTGTCTTACACGCATCAGAGTATGCAAGTTATGTTTGAAAGGGTGTCGAGGATGAGGAATAGCTTCAATTGGTTGAGAAGGATCCAGTGAGATTTGGAAGCTTTCCGAGGCGGGACGCGAGACAATAGGGGCAGGATTTTCATCTGAGGCACAACTGTTAGAACGGTCATCTGAATATCCCGATGGAATCGAAAATATTTGAGGGGGTGCATGTGAGGAGGAGGAAAACATGGGGAAACAGGATGATGTGTACGATGTACAATAATTTTCTCTGACAGGAAGACTGTGGGTGCAAATTGTTGGATAAGAGAAAGTCCATAGCTCATTTTGTGTACGTTGTGGCGTGTGGCACTACTCAATCGCCCAGCCCAGAGTGGCTCTATTTGGGGGTGCACTCTAAGCTTCGCGCAGCCAAGCGCATACTACAAGGCAGCAGCATTGTTCCAAGTGAGCGGTGGCGGGTCGGTCGCTTCTAGAAAATCCTTCTGGGTGGATTGAAATCGAGAAGATGGCAATGGCCATAGTTAGTGGCAGTTCACATTATTCACATCACAGCGCTATCTAAAGATACATGTGGTGTTTTGTGTGAAGAACCCTTGCCGCAGTAGTCGATACATATACGAATAATCGNAGCATTGTTCCAGGTGAGCGGTAGCATGTTGTTCGGTTCATTAACTTCTGTTATTGTCCAGTGACGTACATCACCCTTGGTATTCCTGGATAGGCGGAATATTTGAAGAGTACCATTGTGCCTTACTTCTAGATCGATATCTTGCATCTTCTTGTAGTTGCATTGTACGGTTGTTTACCCAGGTAAAAGTGTAAGGGCGGTTCGGAATTGGTGTAGTTACTTGTTTTGTGTAAATTGTCGGATCCTTCCCAACATTGTTAGCGGTCATTCAGTGCATAATATGCCATTTGATGCATAATATTCTTGCATCTTTTTTTATCGATCGTTTCAGACCGGTTTTTTGGATCGCTTGCTGTTGTAAATCAATGAACCCAATGACCGACCGTAGCTCCGAACTGCAGTCAGCATTAAACGATTTCTTGGCGGTAAGTCTTTTATCTTATGTTCTTGCTACAATTTCCCTTTCACTTAGGAAGTGGATACTATTAAGTCTGAAGGTATTGCCCTATTTGATCATGGTGAGTTTCAACTTTGTCTGTCTTGGTGGGCGAATTTTCCTCGGCGTACAATTACTCTCTTTCTACGCATTTCTAAGGAAGTTCCCATGTGCGGAATCGAAGCACACCAATGACAACGACCTAGACCACTTCGTGTTCGCTTCTGTACACA